TGAAATAACACCACTCTACACATGAAATAACACCACTCTACACATGAAGTAACACCACTCTACACATTAAATAACACCACTCTACACATGAAATAACACCACTCTACACGTGAAGTAACACCACTCTACACGTGAAATAACACCACTCTACACGTGAAATAACACCACTCTACACATGAAGTAACACCACTCTACACATGAAATAACACCACTCTACACGTGAAATAACACCACTCTACACATGAAAAAGCACCACTCTACACATGAAATAACACCACTCTACACATGAAATAACACCACTCTACACATGAAATAACACCACTCTACACATGACATAACACCACTCTAACACATGAAATAACACCACTCTACACATGAAATAACACCACTCTACACATGCAACACCAACAGCTTTTATTGCATTCTTGATTTGCGCCAATTTTATTTTTTGGGTAGTGGTGGTAGTGGCCACAAAGGCTTCATTATACGACGCCGCAGTCGGTGTACAGTACAAGTCGGCCCCGACGCTTGCCAACATTCGGTGTTGCATGTCACGGCATCCGTGATGTGTCCGGAACCCTTGACCATCCGTGGCTGGGTGCGAACATGCTGGGGGTTTCCTGCTCCCCCCTCCTTTAGGGAATGGTAGGTAGGTGTGCAAGAGGGAGGTCTGTCTTTGTGGTTGGTTTATTTTGTCGTCTAGTTGCATGCACGTTTCGCGTGTTGGTTGGAGGCGGGGCGGTGTGATTTACTCGTGGCTGCACAGATTTGGCACACGGGAGGCTCTGGGAATTCATTTGTTGATGCCAGTTGCCCGCACGGGCGGTGGCTCATGGCGCAGCCCTTTGAAAAAGGGGGAAAGCCTTTAAAGGAGGATTGCGCCCAAATATATATTTAAAAAAAAACACCCCCACGGTGAGCAGCCCTTGCCAGAGCCGACGTGTTCACGGTCCAGCAGCCCTTCGTGTTTATACCCACGAGCCCTTTATAATGTGCGCTCTCACTCCCGTGTGAACTGTACCGAGAGCTGAATATGATTAGAATAATTTTAAAGATCAGAATTTTTTTTGTTGTTTCATATATACACACACACACGCGCGGCATGAGGGCATTGCAGGTAATGCGTGTGTGTGTGTGTGCTTCGTCAAGTACTTTGATATGTATGTAGTTGAAAAAAATATTTTTAAAAATGTCGTAAAAAAATGTCTGGAACGAAAATGTAAGGTGAAACGGCATCTAGGAAAGCGCAAAGACCAAATCAGCAAGAGAGTGCAAGAGCCAGGATCCAATGTGTCCGGGTAACTGTAAAATGCAGTTGCAAATTATTTCACCTTTGCCGAACGCTTAAAAAGATCGATGTTGCACAAATGATCAATTGATCGTTGTTTTCTTGTTGTTGTTGTTTGACTTGCATCCCACTGGGATTTTTGCACACAGCGTTGGTGTACGGTGCTATTTCAGGAATATTTTGATGTTTTTTTTTTCCTGGATTTACTGTTTGCACAGTCAACACAAAGTCACTTTAAGATGTTTTCTTGTTCATGTTTTTGTTTGTTGCGGTTGCACCCGATTCAAGAGCCGAATGGCTCACAGGGCTATACCAAATAAATGAAACTATGAAACTATGAACTCGCGCTCCGTTGACCGTCAGCTGCAGCGCTTCAGTCGGTGGAGTTAGCTCGCGATCGCAAGGGTCATGGGTTCAAATCCCGGTTCAGGGTTGACTCGTCTTCTCATTCCTCAGGGGGGGTGGTTTGGGGGGCTCGCGAGATGAGCACCACCTGCTGAGGCTGTGTCGTCGTTTAGTCAGACGCCAGCAGCGATTGTTATTGTAGAGAGACTGGTCCTTGTCATGGGAATGTGGCATGGCTGCAGCGGGCCACTTATCAGCGCTCGTTACAGTGTACACGACAGTTCACAGTGCGATTTGGATTTACGTCGCCACAAAATGCAAGTGCATCTCAAGGGGCTGGACAACGGTAACAGCGTGGCACGTGCGCATCGCGTGGACGATCATACGTAGTGTACAGGCAGAACCTCGCTTAGCGCTCAAGATGCGTTCCTGGAGAAGTGAACGCTCATCGAATCGGCGCTACAAGGCAGCGGTGGGGAAGCTGCAGTGCTCCCAATCCGGGTCGTTCTCAGAGAAGAGCTCCGGGACATTCCGCGATCTGAGTGATGCCCTCAGTCTAAATGTCTGTGTTGAGTGTTTTTTTTTTCTTCTTTGGTGGAGCTTGAGACTCTATCCTGGTCTCGCGAGTTCTCAGCTGGCTTACGTTAGAAACCAAATTATGAAAATGCATTCGTGACTGCGAGTCGTGATAGTCGAATCGAGGGGAGGTGGGTTCTGTTTGGCTCGACGTTCGTCGCTCTCAATGGCTAAGCGAGTGATGGGGGCAGGTCCGTTTCCTCAGCCAGCGCTGCTGCGCGTTCTCCTAAATGTCCTCCAGGACAAAGAGCGCTGTGACGAATCGGCGCTCTTGGGGGTTGTGCTAAGCGAGGACCGCCTGTACTATGCATTTCCGGGGCATAGAAATTCTAGAAAAAATAGACAGTCTTAGGCAGAAGGGAAGAGGAAGGTCTTGAGCCTGGACTTGAACAGGGGCAGTTGACAGCACAGATAGCTGGGGGCAGTGGAGCACCCCCTCCTCCTACTAAGGCAGAGGTTAACTGGGTGTTTCGAAAGGTTATCTTCGTGAAACAATTCTGGTGTAGGTGAGATGGTTGCAAGAGTTTGTTGGTGCGACTTGTGCGGTCCGACAATATTATCATCTCCTTAAGTGGCCCTGAGCCAGTGGTGGAAATTCCACGTTACTTTGTAAGTGATTTATTTTATGTTATACCTACGTGACTTTACCGAAATAACTTATTTTGCACCGTACGTCGTCAACCGTGCTAATCGAAGGTGCAGGGGGAAGAGCAACAAACTAAACACAAAAAGCAGTTCTAAACAAATTCGTTTTCAAACTAGATTTCAAAGTGCATTGCTCCAGTGGCTTCCCAATATCGGAAGGAAGAGCGTTCCAGACGGCCACAGAATCGCAGGACTTGACACTGGCATCCGCGATGGACCGGCAGGTTCACGTTTGTGTTGTTGACGCGACGCACACACACACACATCATCCTTCTTCTTGTGCTTCTCTTTTACAACGTCGGCATCGAGAAAGGGGGAGGGGGTGGAAAAACAAAACCTCTTCTGCATTGCCACGTGACGTTGCCGGTACTCAGGAGCACTGCTGTTAGATTCCAACGAAGCGGTACATACTTAACTAGCCAGAAGGACACAACTATGGTCGTGAGTCAGCCTTTGACCAGAAGTTTAGCATTCAATATTAATTTGAAAGTGTATGTTAAACACGTGTTACATTTAAGTCGCTCTCATGCGCTGCGAATAATCAATTCGCACGCATGTGTTCGGCATTACAGTTGAGTAGATTATACGCTAATGAGTTAAGGGGAAAAATACACAGCAAAAAATCGCAACAATAGCTTGTTTGGAGTTTTATGTTTGCTAGGTATGAATTGTCACCCTTGGTTTAAAATTATATTTACAGGGCTGTACGACTAGTTCATATTTCCCTTTTATAGTTTGCCAGTTTTGTAGCTGATAAAGTTTTGGGTGCTCGGTTGTATTAGCTTCTCTAATCTCTAAAATATGACGGTGATAATGAAGGCATACGTTTGCACAGCTTTGAAGCACATAAAAGCCAATGTGATATTCAGCCTAACTTTAATACATCCTCTTAAGCTGAATTCTTTGTTTGCGTAATAGCATCTCAATATATTACATTACTCTCCCACTATTTATAGTAACATCGTATTGCTGAAGAGTATAGAAATCATCGGCACGTGCCCGGAATGCTTTCCGTGGTGTTCCGTTCGGCGCACTGGACTTGCATTCCGGAGTTCGCCGGTTCGGTCGATTCTCCTGGCGCGGCAGTCGAAGCAACGGCGTGGGTTTCTTAAATTTTCACCGCCTCTGTCCACACAGCAGCATAAATGTTTACGTCACGCAGAGTCGATCGCCCAGTCGCGTGTGGTCGGATACAGAGTATGGGTTGTCCCAGCTCTTGCAAGACGGCTAGCCAGCATGGAAGGGTTGTCCAAATACCCTCTGGAGGGGTTCGCAAAAGCTCCCCCCCGAGTGAGGGCCCTTCCGCCAGCAGTGGTATCTGCTAATAATTGCAGCCCTTCACCTTTGCCTTTTATTTGTTTGGAGTCACTGTGAAAAGCCAGATTAGTGTAAGCATATAATATTCTCATCGAATGTTAAATCCCGATTCAGGAATCATTGCTTGAGGAGTTTTGTACAAAAATTGTACAAGCCACGGAAACCATTATCATCATCAGCTTTGTTCTGTACACCGCTCGAAGATGCCTTCCTACGCCACCGTCTGCCCCACGCGGTTCCATGTTGCCACGGTACATCTCGCTCGGGCATGTAAACCGATCTCGTCACCACTCCGTCTCCAGGGTTGGTATCCTGTAGGGCACGTTCCCCCGCCATTGGCTGCCATTCTGTCGACAGTTTCTAAAGTTTCTGCTGTAAGAGGTCAAGTTTCTGCTGCAAATTCAGCTGTCTAATGTACGGGGGGCACCAGCTCAACATTGGGGTGCCACGGTGGCGAGATGTTAACTACCTCGCCTGGTATTGAGGAGGTCGTGGGTTCGATCTCGACCTTGACGCCTGTAAATTTGGAATTTGCATGTTCTCCCTGCGGTTGCATGGATTTATGTTTCTGGCGTCCTCCAGAAACATACATTTGTAAGTGATATAACATTTTCACATACATTTCCACGTGATAAGCCACTTCGTTGAGCCGGGTCACTTCTGAAAAAAAGCTGCATAGCTCAGTGGGCCTTACCTGGTAAAATAACAACAAAGTTTAGTTTAGGGGAAAATGAGTCTGAAACGCTTGAGATTTAAAACGGTGGAGATTTTATAACGGGTTGCGAATAGAGTAGAGATTTATTTTGTCTGTTGTTGGTGTGGCATACAGATTACAAGGAGAACCCGTACGGTGCGGACGACTCGAGAAGCCCCTTCCCTCTGCCGCCGCGATGCAAGCGGAGCTACGCGCAGAACCTGCCGGTGTGGACCAAGCCCAGCGGCCTGCAGGTTCCGGCTCCGCGTTCACGAGCGTGGCTCCCGGCGGCTCCCGGTGGCTCCCGGCGGCTCCCGGTGCTTGCGCGCATGCGGACCGCGCCGGCTCCAGTGCAGTTTGCGGAAAATGCGCATCGCAAGGAGCAAACGGGTCACTGTCGAGCCGACATCGATCCGTGGCGGCGCGCGAGTTTGAATTTCCTTCTATAAATAGAGAGCTGCCGATTCACCTCCGAAGCCGCCGTCTGAGCAGCCCCATGAACGATCGCAGCCGTGACTGTTTTCAAATCCCCAGGTGCCTTTTACAATCTCTGCGGTGACTGAAACGTGGCCGGCTGCCACCCAGCGCCGCAACGTCACTAGATGCGCGCCGGTAGCGCCCGGCACATGCAAGCGCGCGCTGCGCATCGGCAAACACGTGCGGAACGATGCATACTTCACCCCCGCAGGATCGTGACCAGGGCGTGCTATGGTGGCGCTCATGAGCGTGGCCTTAAGGTCTTTCATGAACGAAGCTTCGAACCCATGCCGCTAGCCCTGGCGGCCTGCTGTCTGAGTGGGCGTCCACTCAACACGAGCCGTTTCGTTTGATGTTTTTTTTTTGTCTCGCGCACCTTGGGTTAAGGCAGGGATGCCCATTGGCTTAAGCGTTAACCTCTCCCATATGCAGAACTAAGCGAAGGAGCTGACCAAACACACCGGTGTAGGACCATTACTAAAATGAGTCTGGAGACCAATTCCTGTAATAAATTAACAGCATTATTAGATTCCACAATTCCCTGCAGTGCCGCACTCAACGATGTGCTCTACGAACGTGAGTGTCCTTGAGCATCTCTCGCAGGCTAAACCGGGACCTCGTGCACGCCTTTCTGCTGTGTGCGTTCGTCTGCGTGCGTACGTGCATGATAGTAATGGGGGTGCGCGTGAATGACTCTGCCTTGGCATAAAAAAATCGGCACCAACTGCCGGGACCATTTTTAACAGCGAGGCAGAGTGACCAAATGTGGGGCTGGTCTTTAGCTACAACCCTTCTGCTCAGTCACCGTCTGCCCTTTGGTGGCTTAATGAAGGTGTTTGTTAATAGTGTCTGGCAGAGAACGGCTTCTGTCCCATTGCATGAGAAACGTACACAAGAGGTGTGTGTGTTTGTGTTTGATGTGTGCCTATCCCTCACAGTAGGGAGCGGTGGCGCAGCAGTTAGGGCACTGCGCTACGGACTCGGTGATCTGAGTTCAATTCCCACACACGACAGATAATAGTGGTGAATATTAGAACTGGTTCTGGGTTTCTCCCTGGTGAACTCAGTCTTAAATGAGGCTAATCCCCTTTTCCTGATGAATTCCGCTTGTGTTGCGATCGAAACGTCGTGATATTTTTTATTCACTTTATTTTACCGAAAGAACCAAAGAATATGAATGCAAATATCAGCACTGAGGAGATTTCAGTTTGTTTTTCAGTTTCATTTATTTGGTATAGCCCTGTGAGCCATTCGGCTCTTGAATCGGGTGCAACCGCAACAAACAAAAAACAAAAACACGAACAAGAAAACATCTTAAAGTGACTATGCGCAAACAGAAAAATCCAGGAAAAAACAGATAAAGAGATAAAAAAAGAGATAAAGGTAGCCGGGCGTGGTGCCGGCCACACCACCCCTTCGTGTCCTGTGCCGGCCTTGATCGGTGCTCGTTACCAGCACTTGTCTCAACAGTCTGTTATCGGCTATACAGGGGAGCTTTGTCTATGTCCAGCATTGTCGAGAGCCGTGCTCACATCAGTGAGCAGAGTGCCATGCGGTTCTAAAGCAGCAAGCTGTCGCATTGGGCAGTGCAGGTGCTGACATCTGCTCTGTACCCCAGACGGTTAGCCCATCACACCTGGGTCTGTCCCAAGCAAATGTGGGCTCAAAGTGCACCTAGACTGGTTCAAGTGCCATAGTGATATCACTTCCACTCAGGCGGTGACGCGGCATTCGCCGCTTGTCGCAGATGTTCATAGCTGGAGTCCAGCGGCCGCCCGCATCATTACTGCCGGTGTAAGAGCCATCGTAATACTACGCGGTGTCCGTGTAGTATTCCCTCACTTCATTCACAAGAGTAGGCCATTGTGTGCTGCTGTCAGGGTCCACATTTCCAATAATCGAATATTACCTTTCAAATTACTCAATTGGGATTATACATAGCAATCATTACCCCCTACTGGCAGATTACGTTGCAGGTCACTCTTCTTAAGTTCTCTTGAATTCTCACCTCGTTAAATAAAATAAACTCTAAATTTGAAACCTGGAATGCACCGAAGGAAGCCAAGCAGGCCTTTGCCCGGCTAGTTCTTGGATGGGTTACCGTGTAGTCATAGGGCTTTTGGGACTACGTGATAGGCAGCAGAGGGGCAGTGCAGCAAAATCCATTGTACTGTACTTCTATGCTCCCCGCGTTAAATTAGCTACTGACCAAATACCACTCACCAACAATCCGCATGGCATGGGGAGGCTCTCATCCAGCAGTGGATGTATAAGAAGGTAGTCGCATTTCAACCGGCGAATCAATCATGGCAGGATTGGCAAATAGGGAAAATAAATACCAAAAGCCACGAGGTCTTACGCTTGCGATGCTTTTCCAGTGCAATTGCGCGTCACGTTTAAAATACATGCGCACGGGCGCACGCGTGTGTATGGGTGCGTGCAGTGCACCTACGTGCAGTGCACCTACGTATGACCCTGGCGCCAAGCTCGAAGCGTTTGATGTCACTGACCCCCCCCCCCGATCAGCAAAATCACGCGACGAAATTTCCCCACGTGGGAGACGACGGGCAGCCTCGCGCGTTCGCAAACGTGCCGCGTCATTTTCACAACGCGAGAGTTGTCTCGGCCGATGCTGCGTCCTCGTTTGAGGCGCAGACAGTCGGGCATCACCCTCACCTCACCTCACCCTCCCCCGCCGCCGCCGGCACCACCCCTCCTCCTCCTCCCCCCCCGAGGTGAATGTTTGATATCGTCAGCGCTGCTGCGGCAACGGCGTTACGCCGAGCGCATTTTAACACACCTTGTGCCTTCTCGTCGCCGCGCAATGCCACGTTGCGGTCGGCCGGAATTTCGTCCGAAGGTGAACGAGTTGCAGACGCAGATATTTTAACCGCGACATTTGCAAATGCAGTTTAGATTTCACTGTATAACCAGTCTCAGTGCCCAGACGCTGGGCAAACGGGGGATAAGCCATGGCACATCTACAGAGCACGAAGCACAGATATGTTTTTTTTCGAGGATATATATTTTTTTAGAGCGGAGAAAAAGAGATATAATTCTTACAGGCCAGAGAGAGATAATCGAGGTTGTTTTGGTTAGATCGCGTAAATATATAAATGTGTCGTAAACAGAACGTGGCCAATTCGTCACTAGTACAGCACGCCGGTGTGTTGGAGAGCCCAAGCCACAACATTTACAAACTGAGTACAACGTTTCGCCAGTAATTACAACTAGCTTCATCAGGCGACAGCCAGATATGGAGAAATCTTACTGTTTCGTTCCTTATATCGAGGCGTAGATGTGGTGACCACCCTTGTGCGCTCTTGCACAATGTGGGGGTGGGGGGGGATTACTGAAGCAACGTACATTATGCATGTGTATTATGCGAGCCCTTTGAACTTGTCCTTCCTGTCTATTGTGTTTATTAAAATAGCCCTACCAACGGTAATCCCTATTGAAGTACGCTGCCCTTTATAGGCATGCATTTAAATAACGTACTATTTGATTATTCGCTTCCACGCACCACTAAGACGGTAGCTATCTGAACGGTTAAAGTTATTTAGATTTCTTTCAATTTCGATAGATTCTCTAATTAGTCTTGGCCAGTCGTCGCTAGTTTTGCACAAAACTATCAAAATCAATTGAGTGTCCTTGTTGGCCCCCGTGTTCTGCTACTGCTGACAGTTGCATTTGGGACAATTTAATATTTCTCTGATGTTCTTTTAGTCTCGTGCTGATCATTCGTCCTGTTTGCCCAACATAACATTTACCACACGTGCAGTTAATCCTGTACACACCTTCTGTTGATAGCTTCGGTAATGCATCTTTTGTACCAGATATTAAATTCTGTATTTTATGTACCGTGCCAAATCTGACTCGGATGTTTTGTTTTTCCAAACATCTGGCTAGTTTATCAGTTACTCCCGCAATGTACGGTATTTTTTATCGTTTTTATTACTTAGGCAGTTTCAATGATCTTGTTATTTTATTTGGTTTTGGTATTCAATGCCCTGTTGATTTGTGCATCATTGTAACCGTTCATTTGCAGCGCTTCTTTAACATGTCGGATTTCACTTCTCAGACTGTCACCATCTGACACTTTCTTAGCTCGATGAATGAGCGTCTTGATAAGAGCAGATTTCTGTGCGGGGTGATGGTGTGACTCTGGCCTACGTGTTAAACAGAGAGAGATAGATGGGATACTGGTATAGTATAAGTGTAGTTGGGGAAGAGCATGAGAGAGACAGTCGTAGGTGGAAGAGGAAATTCTTAGCCTGGACTCGAGCAGAGAATTGGGATTTTCAGTGTGGACTTCCAGAAGAAGGAAATTCCACATCACGGGGCAGCAGGAATAGCAGCAGTAGAGAAGGGGCGACCTCCCATTGGAACAAAGGTTTACTGCAGATTTTGATAGAAGCACTCCGTGAGCCTTCAAAAAGTCTAACAGGCTTGAGATCCGAATTTTATTAACGTTACGATTAGTATTTAAATTTTAATTTATTTCACCCACCGCATCTTTCTATCCTCATCTAAGTAATCTTCTGTATTCTTTCACTTTTTAATGCGCTCTGTGAGAAGGAGAAAAAAATATTTCGTAGGAAATTGGAAACGTTGCAGTATTTACAGTAATTGGCTTAATTGGAAGAGCTTGATACGAGACATTTTTCGCTGCGTGTGAGAAATCTATATTTGAGATGTCGGCAGCAGAGCCCACGCTCGCTTTAGCATCCTCACGATCAATTGGGCTGCCCTTTAATGAAACATTCTCGCGTTGAGGTCACGCCTTCCTCTGAAGAGTGTTGATTGTTGCAACATATCCATATCTTAGGCCACCGGCTGCCTTAGTCTGCCACCGCCATTGGGTGCCACGCACAGCTGCAGGCTGCCCGAGAGGATGATCGCGGAGATAAAACTATATATACAAAAAATTGTTTAACAGGTAAGGCCCATTGAGCTATGTAGCTCTTTTATAGAAGTGACCTGGCTGATAGCTGAACAAAGTGGCTTATCAAATAGAAATGTGTATGAGCCAAATACTCTTAAGTGCATGTTTGTTGTCCTTCCTCCAACACCTCCGATGAGCATGGTTGGCTACGTATGGTGCGAAAGAAGTTCAACATATTTACAGTTCAACATGTGGAGACAAAAACGGAGGACTCGGAGAAAAATCCACGTGACCACGGGGAGAACGTGCAAATTCAAAATATGCAGGCGTGAAGTTCTGGATCGAACTCAGGACCAGGCGAGGTAGTTAACATCTCGCCACCACGAGGCAGATGGCACGGGTTTGGTCTCCTCCATCGGTGTCGGTGCCCGCGTCGATCCCGTCAGTAATTTTGAGCAGATATTCCTCGTGGCGCCGACTGATCCCACGGGGAGAACTCTGCCGAACAGAAGCTGTTGCCCGATCACGTGACTACCCAAAATGCTCACTTTATTTCTCTGCACCGAGCCACATTGCAACAGAATAATGTTGCTCAGTTGCTTTCGAGGGTTTATTTCCTCTGTAAAATTTCATAGCTTTTTTTATTTTGCCCGTTTTCATAGATAGCCCCCTTTTGGAGTCGGGCGCTTGCAGTTTTTCAGGCGAATATTTATCTGTTTATTTTTGTTTGCTGGAGACGTGACGAAACCATCTGACTGGCCGCCGCGGTGCTAAACCGCGTCCCTCGAGCAAGCAGACGCCAAACGGCGGAGCGAAGCGCCGGAGTGTCCGCGCCCGCTGCGAGATGGGGAATGTGTCGCTCCGTTCCCGCTTTGAAGAGGAGCGCTCCTCTTCTGTTTTTTTTTTTTTGCCACCGAGCTGTCACACTTTTTGAAGCGCTCTCGAGTTGTTCCGCTCCAATGAAACGTCTGTGGGCCCGTCAGGGGTGCGTGAGCTGCGCTTAAGGAAGCATTTAGTGAACTAATGAGCTTCCTGCGCTATCAGATGAGAACGTTTAATGCGAGCGCTGTAAATGAGCGCCGCTGCTTGTCGCGTGCGGGTGAGATTAGTAATTTTGCAGGTCGTGTTGAGGCTGTGTGCCCCCACCCTGGCCGTGTGCGGGTTGCGGGATGAGCGCTCCCTCCGCAGGTCGTTCCACCTGAGTTTGCACCCCGCCCCTGCCCCTCCCCAATCGCTTGTCCCACACCGCGCGTGAAACAGAGATCACGTATCTCGCCAGCGCCAGGGGTCGGCAACCTGCGACTCAGCCGCGTGCGTCTCTTTAAGGACCGCTTCGTGACGTTTTTGACGCGCGTGGCGGCCCTTGAAATTTTTAGGTTTCTTTTTTTAACCAAATTATAAAAGCATTGGCTCTCCTTCCTCTTCTTGTTTTGGTTGCCCTGCACTAGGTCCTTGTCTCTGAAGATATTTTCCAGAACGTTGCTAGGCTGGCTTGGAGTCGGTCGGCATTATCGGCGTAAGGCACTACCACTGGACTACGAGATATGCCTATCCGTAATATTCCTATATTGGTCTATCCTATATTACTCTAATACTATAAACAGGTTTTATATATATGTTGAAAAAAGTATTAGGACAAAATAAGGTGTGACGGGATGGCGGCGTGCCAAAATAATAATTACCGGAAGAGCGTTGCGGACTCTTTCAGCTGAAATGAAGCACCGTCAATACATATATACACGCATGTGTTGTAATGCACGGCTGTGATTTGTAGGAGACGTCATTGTGTATAGAATGCAGATTATGTTTTATGTAAAGGAGCATGATTGGCGGGTCGTCTAATACCCTTAAAAACAAGATGTTAAAAGTGTGTAGAGACTCTAGCCCATTACAATAGTCGGCTTAAATGTCAGAGCTTTTTCGACTCTCGTGTTAGGAGAGTTGAACTCGCTATGTGATGTTTGTCTCGTGTTTTTGTGGCTTTTTACCAATTAAACCCTGTTAAATAATGATGTTTCTACGGTTTCCACTCTCTATGGGAAAATAGGGTTCGATTTACAAGGGGTTTTCCAGGAACTCATTGTGTCGTCCAAGCGTTGACTGCTTGTACTGTAGAGGCTGTTGTGGGATTGCCATGCACGTAGACATGCACAAACCACGTTCACGTGCACACAAGAACAAAGCTCCCCCTGTCTCGTCTCAGCCTTCTGGGATAAGTGCTGTTCACGAGCACCTAGAAGGCCTACATAACGCACAAAAATGGGTGGGTGGCCGTGCCCTTTGTCTTAAAATTATTGATGGTTACACACCACGTCAAGTCTTAATTTAATGCTGAGTCAGCCTTGGAGAGGTCTTGGGTTGACCCGCTTAGATATTACTTACCACTGGTATCGTTCGTGGCCAGAAATTGATGAACTTAGGTCATCCGGGTTTGTAGACCAGTGCGTTAACCACTGCACCACTGATTCCCGCACACACACGGACACAGAGTCTCCACGGGACGTTGCCTAAACCCACGCATTTACAATCTAAATGTATATTCCGTCTGATTTCCAATCAAGAGAGTTCAAACATTGCACTATTTTATTCATCTGCCATCGACCCCTTACAATCAATCGCACAAATTGCATGCACTGCAGAAAGGCAATTTGTAGATTGCCGGTGGTGGGTTGGGGGGGGGGGGTGAATGAGGATTCCCCGACCTCTGGGCATGCGTGTCTTGCGAGGTAGAGGGAGTTGAATGTCGCTTGAACTTTGGTGAATATTTTTCCTACGATGAATCACTACGTGGCATTGCTACAATTTAAAATCATAATTCTGTTCCAGAATCGATTCTTTTTTTTTCCATGTTGCGATGTATGTAGTGGCCTCTGGTGGCTGCAGGGATCACGTGGAACTCCTTACGACATACACAAATGGAAAAAAGCATTTGATTTCTGTACACGTGATGTTTATCGATACGTGTATCGGGAGCTGAAAGAATCGATATTAATTGGCAAATTTATGAGCATTCTGCACCTCAGATTAGCACGGTTGGCTACGTACGGTGCGAAATAGGTTCAACATACATTCATACATCGATTGTTACACCGATAGAAATACATGGCATCCACTAATTTACTGAAACGATGCCTGCAGGGGGATTTGACGCAGATAGTTCTATAGCCTCTGTCTGGTCATTTTGTAGGGATATATTCACGATTTTCTGATTCATCCGATAAAATATAAAAAAAATCCGGCTGATATACGAAATTTGGAATGATCTGGAAAAAGATTTGTCTTGGATTCATCCGAAAGTATGACGTTATAGGAAATTATATCACCTACCACACTACTTCCAGGCTTTTTCTGCAAAGAATGGTGTCACGTGGCATCAGATGTCGTCGCGAAGGCATGTTAAATTGTTACACCGTGTAAGTGATCCGAAACTCCGAAAACATTTCTGAAATTGTCCTTAAAAATATAAAAATAATATTTTATTATATGAAACTTTTCCCAAGTATTTTTTTCTTGCTCATATGTATTTCTTCCAGATAATAACGCTTCATAAAATGTATTTGCAAATGTGTCTAAATTTCCTCATTAATATCTCTTAAAGCACTAGTGAATATTTAATGTTTATCGATTTGTAACTAAAGTACTCCATCATAATGCAATGTTCGTAAATAACTTTTGTACTTACACCCCCCATAACTTCCATCACGTGTTTGCCTTCACCCCTCTCTTGACCAGGCTGACATTCAGAAGATCTTGAGAAATGCAAGAAAGTTGCCTGAGAAGACGCAGACATTTTACAAGGTCAGCTCGTCTTATCGGTCAGGACAGCACTGAACATTCTTTCCTTTCAAACACAAATTAACCTCATGGCCGGGACCCCGGGGTCCCATAATCCCCCGGCTCTCGCATAAACTGCTTTGCGACGTCATTTTATGTCTGTTGAAGGCGAACGACACGGCAGTCTCTTCCTCTCGACGAGTCTTACACGATGCACTAATCAAAGTTTCAAAGTTTTGTTTATGACTACAGCAATTTTGGCAACGACACGACAACAGAATGATCCGCGCCAGGTGGGTCGCGGCGTTTATGTGCGCCGTGGGACGGAGTCGCCAAAATTAAATAAATCAATGACGATTTTGACTTCCGTTTATTCGGGACCCTGGGATCCCGCCATGAGGTTAAAATATTCAACTTTACTCTCTCGTCGAGCTTTATACAACTGTAAGGTTTCATCCTGTTTATTTGCGCGTGCCAAAGACGTGTTGACCAAAGGAGGGCGTGGAGGCCTTCTCAGGAGGGATTAAATGACAGAAGGGAGTAAATTTTATTATTTTCTTTAAAAAGTGAAATTTGCTTGTTTTATCCATTTTTGAGAATGTTTTGTAGTTGAGCTCCTCTGGGCTTAAAACACCTCCTGAAGCTTACTCTTAGACTTGCAAATCTCTGCACATAGGTCCCTAAGGCTAAATCGCCATTGAGAACATGTTGCACACTTGCAGCATCAAAATAAAATTATAATTCTTTACAGGATACATCCAATGCATATTTGCACATGGCATGTTCAGTGTTTTGAGATACTTGTCAAAGTAGGTCATGCGCTCGCAAACCCGAGACAACGAAAGTATTTTAAAATTAACTCGTGGCGCCCATAACGCACCGTGTCCTCTGTTGAGATCTGATTGTGACGATTGTGCCCGAGTGGTCTGTGACCAAAGTATTGCTTCATGCTTCACTTAGCAAACATAAATGGAGGCTCTTCATAAACACAAGGTAAAATGGCATAAGTTGCCCTATTTACCCTCCCCAGCCTCCTGATTTCCCACCGGAGCTTCTGGCTGCCAGTAATAAGATATGTCAACTTCTCACGTGGGCCTCATGACCTCCCTCCCCAACACCACAACCTTGACAACTCCATACTCCCAGGGTTACTCAGTTTTCTCAAATGAGAGGACTTCCTTCTGGCCACATCGACACTTCCTATCTTAGCTTTGTGATCTCACATCTTTTGGCTGGACTTTGAAGTCAAGTCTAGGGCTAAAAACTTCTGGCCCAGAACCCTGAAGCCTTTTGCGTGGGCCCTGTAATATTTCACTTGGGCCCTTCAAATTTGCAAGGATATCTCAACCTCCAACTTGAGGTCTCCCCCACCCCCCACCTCCTGACCTCCCAAACCCTTCCAGAGTCTCATACCACTATCAAGTGACCACCTACCCATTCCATGTAACCTTCAATTTGTGCTCTCCAACTATCAGCGTGTGCCTTTACAATTCCCTTCCCAACATACGCTCTCTGCACTCCCATATTCCCACCCCTGGCCCTATAACCACCAAGCCAGCTTATTCGGGCCACCTAAAACGTGTGATTATCTACAATCGATTCCCTGCCTTCACCACAAGCTTCTCACCTACCAATATTACAGCCTCAGTTTTACTCAGCGTGTTGCTTGGTCCTACTCGCAGGGCCAAGTCTTTTGACTCAGACTCTCCACATGGCAGTATCGTGCAGTGAGGTCAATGGCTGGGGAGGCACTGGCTAGTGTCAGAGCCAGATTCACACACTGAGGGGGGGGGGGGTTGGCCTCACTGAGGGGGGCGTGGCCTCACTGAGGGGGGCATTTAGACACGTCCCCCTTAGTGAGGCAGATGTAATAGCTGCCTCCCCTGGTGCTTTTTCATTGCAGTTTCATGACGAGACCAGCGAGCCTAAATATCTTTATACACATACGTGAAATAAGTTACCTGGAGTATGGAAGGCGAGGACATGAAATGAAGGGGTCTACAAACATTACATTGGTGACACACTGAGATAGTAACAGGCACGCGCTTATTGCCCGCGCTCCATCCAGTTACTAAGGGGTTGCGCAATCAGAGGGGAGGCTGAGCTCGTCGCTGCCTCACCTCTCGTCTCTTCCTGTATTTGCAGCGGAGCTCCGCAAATTTGGCGATTTTGACTATAAAAATGATTGGAATCGTACAGAAATGGCATTTATAACACAGATCAGTGGAAAAATCTTAATATTTATATAATTTGATTATTCTTTTTATTTTATTTTTCGTAACAGCTACTTTCATTGGAGTGTGACAGGTGAGGCTCTGCCTCCCCTGACCACACGTCCCTGGCACATAGAGCCTGTGCCCCTCTCAACGCCTGCTCCTCGCTTCTGTCGCCGCGGTGGCGAGAAGTTAGCTACCTCGCCTGGTATACAGGAGGTTGTGGGTTCGATCCCGACCTTAACAATGCCTATTGTATATTTGGAGTTTAAATGTTGTCCCCGTGGTCACGTGGATTTTTTTTGTGGTTGCTCCGGTTTTTCCCTCCACATTGAGAAACATACATTTCGAGTATTTGGCAGCTATACATTTACACATGATAAGCCGCTTCGTTGAGCTATTATTTGTGGCCAGGTGGCTTCTGGGAAAGAGGTATATAGCTCAGTGGCCTTACCTGGTAAAATAAAAAAAGTTTAGTTTGTACGCTGTGGCTCCCTGCTTGGGCTTTGATCTCAGGTTTGAGGCTCATCTGCAACCCATGATTATTCGGCCGGGTCCTTCCAACATCATTCTTGACCCTTCACATCCTCACCTTAGGCCCACAACCTCATAACCTTTAGCCTCTTGATCTTGCCCCCTGGGTTTTTTTGATCTCTTGCCCAGATGCATCGTTTTTTCTTTCCTGGACCTTGGTACTCAATTAGTGAGAACCGCTGTGCCTCCTAACCCATTCTAGGATTTCCCCAACCTCTCACCTGGGTCTGTCAACTCATTGCCTTTTAACACACGGCACTGTTCAGCTTTGAAACTGGGTCCAGTGTCAAAGCTGAAACTGAACAAATTGTTGTATTCATTCACATAGCGAGACGCAACCCTAATATCGTTCAGCATGTTTCCAGTGATCCTGAGCCCACCGGAATTGTTGCGGTCATTGAGTCAAAAAAAATAAATATCTTGGTACAAGATGAGCTGAACTTACCCTTGTTTAGGAATGCAATAGTGAATGTTAACGCAATGGGTAAAGGTGCAGCCCTGCAATTGCATGCTCACGCCACGGTCGGTAGAAGGGCCTCCGCTCAACAGAGCTCTAGGAGAGTGCCTCGAGGGCCATGCACGTGCGTTGAACTTCCTTCGCACTCGCGCGCGGCCAACCGCGCTAATCGGAGGCGCGGCGTGGCCAGACATCTCGCGAGAGTCGGGCCCTCCGGAGACAAGCAAAAGTCTCCCCCCCCACCTTGTCCGTGCGCGCTCGGCGCAGGAGCTGAACCGGCTGCGGCGCGCGGCGCTGGCGTTCGGCTTCTGGGAGCTGCTGCGCGGCGTGGCCGACGTGCTGGAGCGCGAGTGCACGCTGCTGCCCAGCTCGGCGCACCCCGACGCCGCGTTCCAGCTGGCGCACGCCGCGCAGCAGATGCGGCTGGCGGCGCGCCCCGACCTGCAGCCTGCCGCAGCGTACGACTGCTGCGTGGCGCCGTTGCCCACCAACTTCTCCTGCGCCGGGGTCGAGTGACCGCACACTCCGGGCGGGAGGGGCGGCCGGGCGGGCGGGCGGACATTGTAGCTGGTGGCTGTCGAGGGAACTCGTCCGGCTGCGGTGATTTTTCCACGCGACCGGTGCGGCTGTCTCCGATGCGTGTTCGGGCTGCGCCCGCGCGCTCCCGTTGCGGCACGATGCCCGACGTTTTTCGCCACGTGCTGTGGGAGCTTCTACGGGATCAATTAGTTCAATCCCTGAAGTGCGCAGCGCTTGGAATAAAATATCAGGCATGGTGCCGAACTGGCGCGCGCAGTACAACCCAAAAACGCGCATCGGAGAGTTAGACGGCACGACTCTGAAAAACCGACACAGTAAACGAAGCTTCGCTTTGGTAACAGCAAAGTGCCCTCTCCTCCTCGAGAAGGGACGTAGCAGGGAGCTTCAACACTCACAGCTTGCACCCAAACGGCTGCACTTGTTGCAAATATGAAAACCCAGATCGGATGCATATGTGCACCCTGTGCAACCCACAACACTCGTGTTGCTTATTTCAGTTACGCACGTGTGTCGGCAGGAAGACGAGTACCAATACAAAGTACGTGATCCGTGCGTTCTGACACATTCGAAACGTGAACGTATCCTGATTAGCCGTGTAATGCAAGTGGGGATAACTGATTACAGTTTTGTTTGTTTGATGTATATGCTGTGTTCGTGCTTTCTGAGTGTTCCTATGGAATGCACCAGGGGTGATGTGGCACTTCAATAAAAATGTGGTAAGTCACGCAGTGTAACTGCATGGAAAGTTGTCTATAAATGAAGGACGGAAAGAGAAATGCCAGGTTTTGACTACTTGCGCAAAGCAATTCCATGGGCTTTTCCAGTTAGGGCTGAGGAATGGAAAAATTATCCCTTCCCTTTCAAGTTTCCCTTTGAGCTCTGACCAGAGAGGCTTAAACGATGCCTTTAAGTTGTCAATTTGACTTCAGGGTAATATTCTTGCCTGATAAAAGTGATGGGCATGGTACCATACAAAAGTCTATTAGGGCCATTTGCAAAGACTCCAAGTGGCCGTAAGGCAAAAAGATATATACGTTTGAAGAACATTGTCTTAAAAATATACATGTGCAATTCTTCTCATTGTGTTTATGTAACGTGCCAATTCGGTGTCGTTTTGTGCTAAGAGCTGTTGTAAATTCACTGACGGACTGTGACAAAAAATATGGTTTAAAAGTGCAGTTGGCAAGGTTACCTCTGATTATTGATTGCTAAAGGTTATACAAGTAACGTAATCTCACGTTTGTCGTTTTCAAGCTGACGTTGTTATACTTTTTACGGTTATATTTTCTCCAGTCACACATTTAGTTTACCTCAGAAATCGCAGGAATGTGTGCATATTTAGCATCTTGACCTTTTGCTGCTTGCTGCTGTCACGACAAATACATACGCCACAGTTGTACACCATCATTCCCCCTTTGTTTTTAAAATTTTCATTTTTTTATTTTCAGCCAGGGCCGTCTGAGCTTCAAAAAACATTCCACCCCCCCCCCTGCCAACTCCTGACGAAGGGGGCGGGAGGCAGGGGTGAGGTCCAGGAATCGAGAGCTTGGGAATCCTGGAAAATATTCCCTGAGGAAATAATCCCCTTTTGAGTAACCTTGTAAACTGACACTTTAACTGCCCTCAAATATATATTTTTTAACAGCAACGCTTAAACGGGGGTTGCTTTGTATCGGCGCGCTGTTCATACGCTGCTGGTACCGTAGTTTGCAAACATTACTCCAGCAGCACCGCTCAAGACGGACGCCGCTGCCCACCGATCCCTTTTCTCAATTATGAGCATCCTTCATGCTGCATTCGTTAGCACGCATCAGTGCTCAATTATTCACGACACGCTGTTAAATCATCCGGCTCACGGTGACATTTAGTGCAATTGGCAGTGACAGTTACCGCGGGTGTTGTGTTTTGCCATCAACTTATAGTGGCATAGCCACCCTGCTGCCAAGCCTGATACCATTGTTGTGATGTATAAACGGTTGTGTTTTAAGTATATAATCGTGTCGTGCTTGTGACTGCCGCGCGCCGATGTCGATTGCCCCTATTTATACAACACGGTTCCTGCTGGAGGAGCACTCCAAGCCTCTCGTGTTGCCTTCTTGCAAGTGCGGTTTAAACACAGCCCGAGCAATACCACCAGCCCGGCACTGATCATCACAGCTGCCACGGTGACCTGAAGCCAAGCATGGAAATGCCGCCTCTTGACCACTGAGCACATACTCTTTGGTTCTATTCGGTAAAGTCACGTAGGTAAAAAAAAAAAATCACGACGTTTCGGCCACAACACAAGCGGCCTTCATCAGGTGAAGGGACCAGCCTGTCTCGAAGACTGCGCTGGAGTGAAACAGAGCCAAGCTCAGACTGCGACCTTTAAGCTGGGTGAGAGGGACTAAGGTGCCTCGACAAAGGAATTAGCATAAAAAAATTAGCATTTGATTGGCGGACTTAGCATGATGAAAGGTGTAGCACGCGGAAGTGCACCTTCAAGCTGAGCACAGTCCACGGTATACGAGTTGGCTACTACATTTTTCAGTTTTATACAAATTTCCAACATTTTTTAAAGTGGAGACCAAAATTTAATGGCAGTACATTTATTTTTAACCAAATTCCAATTTGCAACCGAGTGTGCGGTTGCGTTTTGTTGTCTTTACCAGAAACAATCACTCTTGACTGATATGTATAAATAACGTCAAATTTCAAACTGCTTATTGGGCTGTATTTTATACAAACAAAAATATAGATTGCAAACTGCCAAGAGGAAAACACGACACAAGTTTAGGTGAAGTGGTTAACACTACATTGAATATTATCGGAACATTTTTTCCTGGGTCGTGTTCTTGGGACAATCGCAACAAACTAGAAATGTGGATAATGCGCCATAAACTACCGCCCATTAAACAAGAGCGTGAACTTAATATAACTTTTTCGTGTTCCTTTAAAAAAAGGATTTGCCAATCAACATTGTTCATGTTGTGAAGGATAACGGGCCTGTTGTTGTGGAAAACAGTTTACTTTTTGATGTGCTTGCTTTAAGTGCGATGTATCCGTTTACTTAATACACGTTATTCTTAAAGAAAAATGCCTCGTCGTTTGCTGAATGTATGAAAGTCAAGCTTCACGATTACCCATGTCAAACAGATCTTGCCCTTGCCTTGTTCACTTTTGGACAAAAAAGTCCCACCTTATCTCATTTGGCGCTATTCCAGAGCAATAATACATCTTAATTCATAGGCTCTCCAAGTCAAAGACGCTGATTATACATGATGTAACGCAAACTTTTGTTCCTGGGTACTAAAATGTTATTTTATTATTGCTTATGCATAAAAAGCATAGAAAATGGCTATTAGTCCCCACAAACTTTGCTTTTGTGACCAGGACTTTATGTGAACGAAAGATACAAAATGCACACCACGTTTTCTCATTGAAAATAGGTAAATTTCAAAATATCACTGTCCTGGTCACAAAAGTAAAGTTTGTGGGGAATAATAGCCATTTTCTGTACTTTTGAGGCATAGGCAATTAGGAAATAACACTTTCTACCCAGGAACAAACATTGTTTTTGTTAGTGTTATCATTAATACTGTTATTGAGAATGTCATGCCCTCAATTTCACCGTGTAATTGATATTTACCCAAGGACTGCTGCCAGCCTTTTAACCGAGTTATATTTTCCTTTGTGTAGCCAAGTTTGCCGAGTTGAAATACTGGTTTTGAGGGTGACTCGTTCATTCCTACAGTGCCCCATTACATACATACCGCAATGGAGAAAACCACCAGTGGTCATCCTTTGGCCCGACTGGTACCTGGCCAAGTGATTGTGGAATTTTCATCGGTGGGTTGAGGGCCACCAAGAGAGACGGAGAGAGAGGATCGTGGCCCCATGCTGTTTTGGTAATTCCAGCCAAACGTGCAAATGGGCTAAACTCCTCCTCCGAGGAGAATACAATCAGAGCACAATTCAGGCAGGTGTATAGAAAACAAGTTTAATTTTGTTTCCTTGCATATAAAATGAGAAAAAATGTACAAACATAAGTAAGAAGCATACAGAAAAGGCCTACAGTAGTTGAGTCTGCCTGCAAATAGAGTACCGAACTTCTACATGACAACGCAGATTATAATTTTCAAGCCTACAAAGCAGGAAGTGGCTACTTTGCCTGTTATTACAACCTTTTCCACCCAGTGGTTCGGCATTTAACCAAAATATTCGACTGATACCTCAACGTGGTATTATAATCTACAATAAGGGTTTTAATGTTACAGGCGTAAGGCAATTGGCTATTCACAGAAATATGGTATTATATAAAAAGCATTATTTTTTATTTGCCTGGGCGGAAAAGGGTTTTTTTTTTCTCATGTTAAATTTCTGCACGCTCACAAACACGTGATACATAAATTCAGTGCGATAATATTTACCAGTTACATGTAACAGCCCTAAAAAAACAAGCCACTGAGACGTGCATACACGAATGTGAACCTTGTTCAAAGACTACGGGAGCCGATTACGTTGTCACCCTAAACTACCAAAAGAGGAGCTGTACGATGAAAGATTACAGCGAGATTACACAAGTCTTATTTTCCAACTTTTTTTTTACTCTTCATCTTTTAATTGTTCATCATAAATTATGTGCACGATCAGCCTGGTCTTTAATTTATACATATAAAAAAAGCTTTTTTTTAACCTTACAAGTTGCCCAACAATTGCAACATCATTTCACGTGATACATACATTTTATTCAGTTTATTTGAATCACTTACAGATGACATACGTGCGCATTACTCAGTGGAATAAAAACACCACCGCCGCTTATAAATAGCAACATAGAAACTGGAACTTTATTTTAATATCTATATATCTTTTAAAAAATCAATAAGAAGAAAAAATGGCTACAATTAACAAATGTTTATTGAAAATAAATATAATTTCTTTAAAAAAATTTCTACAACAACCTACAGTGGTAACTAAGACCGTGGAATTAAAAACAACTGACCTTTACTTCTTTGTTTCAATAGGCACTGGCTGGGAATGCCACGTCTGTTAAGCCATAATGAACGGACGTGAAGTATGTACCGTGCAATATGGGACTGCACAGTAGAGAATACCAAAAGTGTTCACGGACCAGGTGAGTGCAACGTTAGGTACACATTGCCGTTTTTTTTATGCACAGTATACACATAAAAACAGTTAAATGTTTTGAGAATGGGATATTAAATGCATGCACTCAGCTCAGACAGCAATTGTTACTCTGAATACGGTGACTTCTTCGTATAAATTGAACAAAACCGGCTTAACAAACCTAAAATGCTTGTGCAGCTTTTTTAAATACCACATTCTCAAGACTCTACAACCAGTCCTTGTATACACGCACACGTGAGTAGGTGCGTGTGTTCCATGCCTCTAAGAGGCAACAAACTCTTAAGACATATCTTTCAGGTGTGAGAGAAAAAAACCTCTATCTGTTGAAAATCAAACTGAAAAAGGTAAAAAAAAGAGGCTCGAGAAAACAGCCCAGGTGTTAGATTGTTGGGACGGGCGGTAGACAGCCAATCAGTGTAATTGCTGGGCCTGGTTAATCATATTAACTATGCGCCATCTACAAATGTGGTTGTAACAATATCACAATCCGGCCTCGTACTCCAGTTTTAAACGAGAGCTAAGCGAAACGCTCCCTCGCGCCGTGGAAGCTCACTGGTCTACAGCCATGACATTAACTGCGATAAATCTCGAGAGATGTCAAAAACAGTCAATAAACTGGTTCATATACATTTGAAATGGGGCTCAACATAATCATAATTGGGCATTCTAACGTTATTCACTTAGCGTTCATTGAATATCGTTTGATGCGCTTCGATTGAACTCTGCGCGTGGTTATAAATGAATTCCAGGTCTATGAAATGCCACTCAAAAGACCAATGACGATTACGCTATTCTGTTCAAATACCCCACCAACATTCTCGTCTCCATTAAAGAGAGAAAAAAATACTCCGACTGAATGTACATGGATATTAAAATGTAAACGAGTATCCTTTAAAAATATAAAAACTAATTTCCATAAAAAGCACATCACGTACACGTTTAAAACGATGCAGAAAAACAGAGTGAATGCGAGTGGAAAAAAAATGGATAAATGCTTTTCGATGCAAAAGCACTTTCAGTAATACAGAGTGTAACGCTACACAATTTAGCACATTACTGGAAAAGCAACTTGCAATGTTACCTTCAGGGTTCTCTGTGCTATGGATCGGACTTTGGCTCATTACAGGACATGGCTTCCATTTCAATTTTTTTTTGTTTTCATTGTTATTTTAGAAAAAAAGAATAAAGATCCCAAAATAACCAAAGCACATTTTGTTTTGCACTTGAGCCCTGAATATCAAAATATGCATTGGATGGGTATTTCAACAAGTTTCGAAAACGTGCTACACACCCACAAAAAAACAGCATTTCAGAATTTTACAAAATCTCATCGATGTCTTATCAGAGCTTTTTTTTTCACCATGTAATTTTTTTGTCTTTTTCTCATTACTCTTTAAGCCCAATATTACTTTTCTTTTGGTAATCATGTACACAGTGGACAAACAAGTGCGAAAATATAACAAGTAAAAAAAATAAGTTCAATGAAAAATGCGGCAGTGTACAGATCTTCAGTTTTGATTGTTCAGGAAAGGTTCTTTGTGTTTTCTGCTGATTCCAAAAGGTGCAATGGGCTTTGTTCACACGACTCTCAAAGAGTCCAAAATAATGGACGGCTGAACCCTATCCCCAGGCTTAATGTTACAAACTTCATGTTGACCCTGGGAAAGCGCTAAACCAAAACGCACACAAACACCATAGCCGATTCTCCTCCTTCATTCATGGAGATAAAACAGTGTGATCCAGGTGACTGCAGCCTCTCTGATGCGTGGTCTGCTATTATATTGATCACTGGGCAAAGACTGTCTCCGGCCGCTTGTTCTTCTGGGCTACAGTTTTAAGAATGGGAGTTCTCAATGCTTCCTGGTGCAAGTGCGAGGGACTGCCGTCATCAATGTCCTTGGGAAAGCGGCAAGGCCCGGGCCCAATGGCGGCCGTTGAGGAGCGAGGATGAAGTGGAGCAGGAAGAGGACACAGCAAGACGGTTTCACAGATTCGGGGACACGTACAAAATGGACAGGTGAAAATAAAGATCAACAGGCTTGCTCAGGTCTGTACATTGTCCACTTGTCTCAACCATGCTCCCCATCAGGAACGGCCCATGGTCTCCAAGTAGCTTTGCAGTTTACGAACTGTCGTCTTATCCAGCATGCAGAGGTCAAAGTCAAAGGTGGTTGTTGTGATTTGGAAGTGGCCCGTCTCTTCAATCAGGTTCACAATCTATGGGCAAGAAAGAAAAAACACGAGAAGAGTTTTTTTTTAAGTTTTGATGCATGGAAATAACAATGGCAATACTGCTGCACAGCAGCCGTTAAAGATCCTCTGAAGCCTTTGCCAGAGTAGGCCATTGTGTGCAAGCGTCAGCATCCAAATTTGAAAATTACCTGCAAACCAACTCTATTGGGATTAAACATAGCAATCATGAACTCTCTACCGATAGATTAATGTCCCAGGTCACTGTTGCTAATTAAACTATCAGTGCCTTTAATCGCCACCTCGTTAAAAATATAAACGTAACTTGAACTAACTTGGCTTGCCTAACAGGGACTGAAGCAATTCAGCTGAGAGTTTAACAGTCAGGAGACTTCATGGGAGATAAATCAAAGAAAGCTGTACACTTGAAAGACATTCTGTGTTGCCAATGCAACATTAAAAAAGTTCCACATACCCTAATTAATGAGCAACAATGTAATACAATCAAGGTGATTGTTTCCAAAATCATCACGAGACGTGTGACTGCCAAAAATTGCACCTTAAGCGGCAGCTGAAAACAATTCAAACCATTTCTTTTTTTTTTTACAAAATGTCGTGAAATTAAGGTGCAGTTCATCATTCAAATATTTGCAGACTGTGCAGCAGACATGATCTTTTGGGCATGCGCATGCAAGTCGGTGCAAAGCACGGCTGCAACAGCCCTTTTGTTGCAAGCCGTGGTGGATGGCTGCCAAAACACTTGGGAAATGTGGCACGGATTAGTGCGCTGCTTTCCTTGGGAGCAAGGCCACAGCGTTTTGTGCTGGGGAGCTCTCATGGGTGGTGGGGGGGGCGGGAGTTGCAGGACGGAGGAAGCCAGTACAAAGGTACGAACACAGTGGCTGTTTTTTGTTCATCTGTCCATCATGTTTGTTTAGCGGGAGGGCAGTGGCATATGTAGATGATTGCAGGCGCTTGGCTTGCACGACGGTCTAGGCAGGCAAAGCTCACGTCAACAGACAGAAGCACAGCAACATTTGATCCCACGGCGCTAGTTTCACCGCACTGAGGGCACTGGCGCAAAATGCCAAGGCTGAGGTGGGGTTTTCCGCGGCTGCGCCAGGTGCTCACCTGCTGTAGTACATGTCTCTCTCTCAGCCCCATAAGCCTCCTGTGCAGGTCCACCAGCTCGTCCAGGTATGCCTGCAAGCCAATATTGCGTGTTACGTGGTGCGCTTTGCACGCACGTGGGCTTCAAATGCAAATGGACGACGAATACACGAAACGCAAAGGGATGCTGCATTCACTCGATCAACAAATACATTAAATACCTAATCGCATTTAACAACAGACTACTTCTAAATGTAAAATGGAGCAATGACTGATGTCCAATTAGTTATTTTATTTTTTTCTCACGGGTCACCTGAATGTATGAACCCACGATTAGACTACCATACCAACAGAGTGCCTGTGGGAGTTATTTATTATAAAGAAAAAACATTGTAAATCTTAAAATATCCTGAAGCATAAGATTAGTGCTGGATAGAGTGACATTTGCAAATGTGATTTGTAACTTTGATCATTAGCTGTGTATCGATAGTTCAATGTTCCATTTTATTAATAATGCTAATTTGTAACGTGCAAAATTTTCACTTGCCCGACAGCAGTGAACCTGAGGGACTGTGTGTTATCGTGTTGTGGTCTGGGACTATTTTGACGCTGTTTTTACCGCCTTGCCCAATTTAGCTTGACCAGCCCATACTGGACGTCTGTGAAAATAGCTTTATAGCTCATCGGATTCCTCCACTCAAATATATATTTTTGTTACATCTTGGTTTGACAAAAACAGTGCACACCATAATGCCCACACTATTGTGCAAATGCACACAGCACAAAACTAAACACATCCAGACAGTGGGTTAAGGCAGTGCCTCGGCAAGGCCATAGAAAACACGACGCCATTTGCCAAAGGATGCGAGGCAAACAACGGTCTGACACTTTGCCATGGATTTCACAGACAGACCGCATCTGCTGGGCAGATGTTTTCAGGCAACGCAAACAAGGCTGCATGCTAAGTGGCCCTATGTATGGGCAGCCAACTTTTGGGACGTATCCTTGTGCAGGCTATCCAGTGCAGTGGTGCCGGAAAACGACTGGCACGTTAAAGTGTGCGGCCGGCGACGCACGCGTGCTTCGAGAGGAGCGGAGAAGCCCGCGCAAGGCCAAGAGCGGTAGAGGCGTGGCTTCATTACGAATGGCGCAGTGCCTTTGAACGCTAAACAATGCCAAGCATGCCATTAGCCCAACGGCGGCACCACTATAATTCAGTTTAGCCAACAATATTTACGAATCGATGAACCAGCCCCCAAAGAAAGCATTAGAGAACGGAAACAATTTGAGCATTATACTTTTGGCTGGGAAAACATTTTACAAACGAATGCACTCTCTTGATATTAATATGTAATGTGCCTTTTTCTGTTGTTGTTGTTTCAGGACTGTTTGTAACTTGGCACGAGAAACGCTGTCATTACTGCAGGCATTAATTGAGGCAAGGCAACAGTGCTGGGCTTGCGCCATCAAAGTATAATTACAGTCTTAAACAGCCAAGCATAAATATACAACAAATACAAGTGTCCCACGAATCTAGCCGTCATTATTTTGGAAGGCTGAAACTCACTTCATTATATATGCTTCCCTTTTCAAGTTTTAATGCTTATATACTTTCAAGAATTATTGGCTACTGGTAAGGAAAACACTGCCAAAAAGCCACTTGTCTCACGATACAAAAAACTTCAATAATTGCCCAGCCACTAGTTTTCTGGTTTAGGATGACGTTTTATACTTCCATTCACAATCATCACCCATGGACAGAGCATAAATATTATTTTATTACAAAGTTATATTAGAGCGACTTCGGCGAAGGTGCTCGAAAAATATAAAATAAGATGTTAAATATATCAAGATCATTAACATTTTGTTGGCATAAGACTTTACATATATAAAAATTAAAAGCTTGGTAGCCTGAAATTCTCATGACTGACCCTATTTCTATAATCGACAGTGTTTTATGGAAACCACCTCAAAGCAATAACCACTGGCCTTCGTCTACTGTAAGGTAAACGTCGAACACGTGTCGACATCCTTCGTAAAAAGTAGGCCATTGTGTTCCAATATAACCGCCCACATTCTACATTTACCATTTAATAAATCGGCTAGACCTCAATTGTAGAAACATCCATATCAATGGCATGGAGAGAGAATTAGTCAAGGGCTAAATTAACAAACAAGCTAATATAAATCACATGAATGCTTCTTGTCAAATTGCTTTGCCCCACTTGAGCAATACCTTATCACTCCTCAGAGCTTTGTCCACCTTCTCCTGCTTTACTGAACTCTTCTGCCCTGGCGCCTGGGGACAGAGATGCAGGCATCACCATGATCACGTTTGCTTTGGCGAGCGTCCACATTTGAGAACCGGTGATGGATAAAACGACGACGTTGCCTTTTGGTGTATTTGCTCTTAATAAACCAAGCCTTGACCGGCCAACCACCCACTCTGCAGAGGTGCACATGGTCTTAGTAAATCCACCGCTGAGCCAAACACTCTCCCCCAAAGAGGCCAAACGCATATTTGGTGAATTTATTTGGAGGTCAACAGTGATGTCTGCCTCAAGAAGAAAAGAAACAACAGCAGCGATTGTGTTGGCTCCCACAAACATTTGCATTGGTATGCTTGCACACAGAGCTCTGCAACTGAACTCAATGGGGAATGCGCGTTAAGTGGTTCAGTTGCTGTTTACCTTGGTGGAGGTGGTTTTTGGTGGGGGGTCTGTCCGAGGTGGCGAAGGGCTCCTGCTGCTCTCACTGTCACTGCCGTCGCTTAACCTGCAGTGCAGAGCGACGATGAAGTGAGGCCCAGGAGCCAATCGCATCATTCACCCATCGAGTCATTGGCTTAAATTTCCTGGAAACGGCGCATCATAGTTTAGCTTCCGACTGTCCTCACGTAACCTTATTACCTCTACGACGACACTCTGAATGCCCTTGAGGCACACAATTTTTTCCTTTGACTAATTTGCATACATCCACTGTTAGTAATGCCCAATGCAATTCTTCTTGATCCAACGGCAGAAAGATTTGAGAAAAATCCACTTCCATCTGCTTCACATTTCCTGCCGAGGTCTCATTCTGAACAACAACTCAAATGCAAGCAGTGGAGCCACGGTATCCAAGCCAGCTGACAATAATGCCTGCTGCCCTTCATTCTAACCGGCCCAAACTTTTGCGTAATCAGTCCCTGCCTGTGATATATCCAGCGCCAGGAACATGACTTATGTTAGCATGCATCCAGTTGGCACACGTTAGATGGACTACAACTAGATGTGCATGACATGACCACTTGCTTCTGTAAAAGATTTCCTAAATCACGAGCATCTTACAGCACGCGTCTTCATGAGGATGAGTTTGCGCTATCCAGCAGGTCCTGTACAATCCTGTACAATGTAAAAATTCAGGAGTCAAGGAGAGCAACGTCTACAATGTAATCGAACTGCGGACAGTACCAACGCATCAAGTTCCTCCAGCTTCAGCAAATTAATGCAACCCAGCAAAGGCAATGATATACTCCACTCTCCAATCAGTTTTTTTTATTACTATCTTCAAATTGCTTCCAGTGCTCATCCATCAGCCAGGACTGATGCGTCAAGCTTGTAAAAGCCAGTTGAAATTCATCAAATTGACTTTGTGCGGGACAGACATTTTTATTCAAAGCCATGTGTTGACAACTCAGTCAAAGATCCACTCACAACTGGTACCAGCCCGATGAATGCACTACACATCTCCGTTTATGGATTCCAAAGCGAATCCACATAGATCACGCCAATAAATCAAACATAATCAAGAGAAAAAATGCCATTCTACTTTTTTTCTTTCATTAATACACCCGAGAGCAAACATGTTGTGAATAAAAGACATTCGATGAAAAGAGATAATACATCCCAAAAACCTTGCGTCTTAAAGCAACCACAACTTTTGCTATATAAAGCAACTCACGTGCCCTGAGGCTGGAAACGTCCTATTCATCGTCCTATTCACTCGGGAGCAACGTTTGTTCGCTGCGGATGGAAACGGGCACGGCGAGGCGTGTGCCAGAGTGCGTACCGGTGGTTTCTCCTGCCGCCCCCTCTCCGCCCATCCTCCAGGCCGTTTTCGTCCTCATCCTCCTCTTCCGAGTTACTCAGCTCTTGCATGAAGGTGTTGAGGATTCCTGCGGTAGCAGCACACAACAACAACACAGGGGGCGGGAAAGGAACAACCACTCCCGAGGTTTACAAGAAGAAAAAACAACCGCCATCGCCATGCACGCAAGTTGGTGTTCCCTGCAATCGGTTGCTCGCAACGTCGCACAGTGCCGCTATACGCACTGGAGTGTTCACCGACCCCGGGTTTCACGGCAGCCACGTCAGGGGCGCAATGGACCACGGTGTGATGACCGTGCCGTGTGACGGCAGGATAGGTTGCCGGCAAGAACTGCATTGCCGCGCTTTCAGATGCGCTTCCGCGCCAGTCTGGAATGCTCTTCCGCTAATCGGGAGGCCACTGGAGCTATGCACTTTCAAATCTAAACTGAAAACTCATTTGTTTAGAACTGCTTTTCGATGTTTAAGTTTGTTGTCATTCAACGGCGCACCCGACTAGCATGGTTGACTATGTACGGTGCGAAAGAAGTGCAACATGCAGGAGGCTTGTGGGAGGGTCGCTCACCTTGGCCGCCAGGCTGAACCGACGTGAAGCTGCTGCTGCTGCTGCTGGAGCTGGCAGGGCTCGTCTGCTCGGACTGCGCGCACAGGCCACACGCAAAGGCACAAAAGACAAACGCATCCCGTTTCACCTCCCGGTATGCGCAGTCAAGTGCTGCTGGCAGCCACTTACGGAGGGGTGGCACACACCACGCCAGCTACTTATTGAAAGAGGCAACCCAAAACAATTGCAAAAATGTTATCCCGTGAGATATGTTCCAACGGTGTGTGTCTCTCACTGTCCGATATACACACACACACACACAATCTTCTATGTATAAAAGTCAAAAATTGTCTGTGGGCTTGTGTGTGTTCGCGCGCTTGCGAACGATTTGCCTCTCCAACGGTGGGGATTACGTAAAAAAAAATAGCCAGGTACTACGCCGTAAGCCCCGAGGTGAGCAAGCGTTATTCCTTTTTCACATCCGTCAACTTTAAATTAGTTCAATTCTCGATTTAGTGGGATTTGTGTGCACTTCCCTTTTATTTATTTATGACGCGTGCACGGCCATACCAACTCACGCGCCTTTGGTGGGGGGGATGGCCCATGCCAAAGTCGCACGCCTTCGGTGGGAGTGAGGGGGACATTTTCTTTCGCGTTAAAAATGCTTTCAAAATACACTAAACACTAACGTTAATTCTTCAGTGTGTGATGCCCCCCCCACCCCAATGCGTGCAGTTATTACTACTATACAGTCGCTAGATGCTACCACGATAGTCCGTAGATATTACTGCAGAGCGGCCGGGGAGATTGTGGTTGGGGGGGGGGGGGGGGTCAGGGGTAACAGCCCAGCCCCAGCCTGCCAAGGTGCCACGTCGGCCGGTTGGACAATCTAGGCGAGGCCGGAGGCTCTGCACGGGACTAGGCCTCACCACGCCACTCTGTCAGGTGAGTACTTTGTGCTATACAGTCGATAAATACTGCTATAGAGTCAGCATGTACTACTGTAGTGATAGCAGGTACCACCAGTCAGTATGCACTGCTGTCATCATAGCAGGTACCACCACAGTCGGTATGCACTGCTGTAATCATAGCAGGTACCACCACAGTATGCACTGCTGTAATCATAGCAGGTACCACCACAGTCAGTACGCACTGCTGTTAGATTATTAAGACTAGTTTTGAAATATTTTTAAGACCCGGGCAAAGCTGGATACTTCCCGCTAGTTTTATATTAAAGTGGAGACATACAAACAAATATCACGAAAAAAATATATCATAGCATTTATAAATGATAAGAGAGAATGAAACGCTCTGAACCTTAGGACAGTCTGTCATAGTTAGTGCTGTAAGAGGGCATTTATTAAGGTCACCAGGGAATAGTGCGGGTCAGCACCATGCCACAAATCTTTCATTTCTACTTCACCTTAAAAAAATACACCTCCTGCTATAGCGGGTCCCCATAACGCACGTCCCATTATTTAGTACAGCGTCCGGAGTTGAATGTTGCAATGCATTTAGAGGCTCTATAAGCCCAAACAATTTTACATTTTCTTCCCCAATACGAAAAACGTCGATTGATTAATTATTCCAGGGACCCTTGTTATGTTCCGTCAACAAAGAAAAGGCCCAGGTGGTGTTCGTATATCAGCTGTGTGCGACTGATGTGCCACGCCCGCAATTGAACTCAGATTTCTGAGCTGGTGCTTTTAAACCAACAACCGTTCCCTAGCTTTCAACACGTTACCTATGCACACATGGGGGACAGAATAAACACTTTTGGGAAAATGTACCGTCAAACTCATTACATTATGCATAAACATAGCCGTTCCTAAAATTATTATTGCATTTCCTCTCTATTTTATGGCCTGTTCATCAGGATGGAGATAAAGATTACATATCCTTGTCCCTTAGGTACACGGGAGTCATTTAATAAAAATGCATTTACAAAAACGCTTTCAGAATCAATGACCATGAGGATAATTTAAAATGATTAAAGTGCAGTATTTGATTAAGAGACAGACACACGGCTATATATGTATTTTTTTAAACAGCCATTTTCTTCTTAGACACGCGATAATCATCTCTTTGAAGGTTACCTTCACGTGCAAAACATCATCCATAATAGAGGTTTTTTGGGTTAGATCGCGTAAATATATAAATGTGTCGTTAAAACCCGCCACCACCCGACAGAGCCAACTAGTAAGGGTTGTTACATATTAACGCGATCTAACCCAATAAACCTCTTATGGATATTGGTCGCAAAAGCCGACGTGTTAAACAAAATATTACCGTGAGACAATGTCCTTTCGTTTTTTGGGAAAGACAAATGTTCGAGTTGTGTGAAGGGTCCACAGTGCACGGGACAGCACCTTTCATGTCAACTGATATATATTTTTTATTCAAAGGTCTTGTAATCAGTCATCTCATTGTCCATCACTCATGAGCTACAAACCGCAAAATGAAGCAATTATTAAGCAATTGACGTATCGACACATAATTAAATATTTACAAAAACACAGATGAATTTTCATAACTTGCATAATAGTGTATTTCCCCTTAACTGAGCTCAGACAAAGATTCCTCTTTTAGCCTTAACAGACTTTTTTGGGGCAAGTACTGTTAGCGAGCACCTATTAAGGCCTGGGACGGCACACGAGGGGATGGGTGGCCAGCACACAACGCTCGACCAACCTTAATCTCTCCTCAGTGCCAATGTTTACACATTGTACCAGGTATCTCATTTGAGGGTGAGTCGACCTAGGGGAGGCCCAGAACCGGTTCTGATAATCGTAAAAGGTGTCGGTGGCCGTGAGCGGATATCGAACTCAAGCCGCCGAGTTCATAGCACAATGCGCGAATTGCTACACTACCGCTCCCCACGAGCTAAGGTGCAATCAGTAATCTACATTGGTAACCTCGAGCTGGATATTGCACAATAAGTATAAATAAACATGACATTGTCTAATATACTAACAAGGAACTTATACGTTACGACGCTGGAGCAAACAGGAATGCATGTAAGCATTTTTACAACGATGATAATGTGAATTACCACCAAGTGAAAGTGTCTAACCTTGCTCAATGAGCACTTGGGGTAGCACTCACTTCCAACGGCCACTCAAAAGCCAGAGGTGAAAATTCGTGTCCTTTGGCAAGGGACCAGTTTACTCCGTGCACAACCACCGTTAACTTTGTTAATTTTAGCATTCCCAGGGAGATTACAGGCCGAGTGAAACCTTAGCTGGGACCTGAACTCGCAAACTTCCATGCGTGCGAGGCACGTGCTCCAACCAACTACAGTACAACCCACGTATGTATGTTGAACGTCGTTCGCACCGTACGCTGCCAAAATTTGATAACAGGCACCGGGGGGGCACTAACTTTATTTCTCGACATAGCGATCAAGACAGTGAACTAGCATGACCTACTTATCAAACATTTACTTGGGATTCACCTTAACTTGAATTATTTCATCTGATATTCTTGCCACACTGTTTATAGACAAAATTACTGATTAGCTGAACCGTTGATTTGATTGTTGGCTCAGTTGTGGTGGGCCAGGCTCATTAGCGCATTGCGTTTGTGCTTTGCCCGGGGGCGTGCATGGCAAACGGCAAGCCCTCTGCTTTGGCGTGTTGGTGCAATGTATACATTCTGCTGGCAAAAAAGGAGGAAACGAGAAAGGACAGGAAGTTGATGCTACGACAAGCAAGGCCACTTCCCTTCACCCGTGGTGCAGCCACGTTAACATCCCGCTCCACTTGTAAGCGTGGCGACCAACCACACGTCACAATCTCAATGAATTTGCAGAAGCAGCACGACTAGCAGCGGAGGTAATGTTTATAATAAACAAAAGGGTGTGTCATTGTTGCATGTTCATGGTTTGGTACTCATAACGGTCACTGCATCGCACGCTTTCAGATGCACTTCTGCAGCCGTCTGGAACACTCTTCCTTCCAATACTAGGAAGCCACCGGAGCGATGCACTTTTAAATCTAGATTGAAAAGAATTTCTTTACAACGTGATTTTTGTGTTTCGTTTGTTCCTCCCCCGCATCTCCGATAAGCATGGCTGGCTATGCATGGTGCAAAATAAGTTCAACATACATATATACATAATAAGAGGAATGAACTTGAAGAGTTGTCAACAAAACTGGTCAAAGCACAAGCAATTGTGGTGGCAGCACAGTTCCCACGAAGGAAGCTTGGGTTCAGTGTTCCTGAAGAAGTGGTGGTCTCTTGGCAGAATTCACCGCAGGTAAATGTTTATGCGTACGTGTCACATGGCTTTTATCATCGCAAAGAAACTCCCAACCAGTTTTGTTTTTTGGGGAATCGTGCGGTGCGAGATGTTGCACGATAATCCCGAGGCCATTTCCCAGTCTTGAACGTGAAGATTCTGCGCACGTCTCATCACCCCGTCACCCTTAAAAAATAAAAGGAGACGGAGCGGAGCTAATCTGGCCAGCATCAGCGGCAAGTGATATCCGAATCGGTCCAGGCTCTCCCCTTCACCAATCTGTGGTGACCAGTGAGTTAAAAGTATGGTCAACACCCCCCCACCCCCACCCGACGCAGCATGGTGGGGAGGCCTTCATCCAGCAGAGGATTCACACGAAGCTGTAAATAATTATATTAATGCTGGCAAGTTCAAATGCTGGACGTGCAGTTTACTCAGCATATCATTCTTTTGCAGTTAGTAAAATGGATACAACTTTGCAGGTAAACCAGCTGATGCCAACCTATAGAGTGGCAATCAGTGGGAATATTGTATTTCCACCACAATTTTTCAAGTGACCCGATTAAAATTTCGGAGCATCTGTGGTCTAAATTTAAGGCAACCTATTCAAAAGGTCTGGCGTTACCTAAAGCTTAAAGAGGGAAACCCCCCCCCCCCCATATATTTTACAAACCACGATGTTTGCTTAGTTTGTCTACAGACGTCCAACTAGGTAGGCAACGTTTAAACCACTGGGCAACGCAAGCCTGCAATGAGAAAACATTTTCCAAAAGTACAAGCACGGCTTTGTATTCAATATATGTTCACGTCCCACCAGCCAACTGCCCTTTGGTTCTACCCTTAAAATAAAGGTG